AAACAAGACTATGAACAAAGTATCAAAACAATAAACAAGACTATGAACAAAGTATCAAAACAATAAACAAGACTATGAACAAAGTATCAAAATATAATCACTCTAATGAGGAAGACAAAGCTGTGAACAAAGTATCAAAACAATAAACAAGACTATGGGCAAAGTACAAAGTAACTTACGTCTAGGACAGTGTTTTTCAACCACTAGTGTGCCGTTAGTGATGGTCAGGTGTGCCGTAGAAAATCACCCTATTTCACCTAATTGGTCTAAAAAGATTTTTTGATAAGGAATTAATTATCTGCAAATAATATGCCATTTTTGAGTGTCTGTGCTGTTCTAGTGACTGGTGTAGTAATCATGTAATAATTCCTTATGACTAGATTTTGTATATAATTTTGCATATTGAAGTGGACATGTTAAGAGCAATTTGAAAGAAGAAATATAAAATATGATAAAAATACATTTTTGTGTTTATTTAATTCCTATTCAAGACACTTAAGATAAGATAAGAATAAAATAAGAATAACTATAGTGTTACTATAGGCGGCTACAGATTTGTTTAATATTTTGGTTAGTGGTGTGCCTCGTGATTTTTTCTATGAAAAAATGTACCTTGGCTCAAAAAGGGTTGAAAAACAGTGCCCTAGGAGAAAAACACAAAGGCACTCAAAGGAGGCAAAAATTCAGGAGGCACAAAGGTGGGGAACGGGATCAAAGGCAAGGTTTAACTATGAAAAAAGGATAACTGTGGAACGCAAAACACTGGCACAGGACAAGGTAGGGTTGTCACGATACAAAAATGTTCAACTCGATAGCGATTCTCAGGAAAATACTCGATACTTGATACCATTTTCGATACCACAGGGATAAAAACAAAGACCCCAAAATGTAACTGAATTTTGACAGATTAGTGTCTTTCATTTCAAACTGACCTGTTACTGATGTTATGGTGGCCTGCATTAATAACCCTAACCCTAACCCTAACCCTAATCCTGACCCTGACCCTGACCCTAACCCTTCACCCTTCATAATTGTGAGAAATAAACATTTTTTGGTTAAACTTGTTTGGACTTATTGTACAAACCTATTTAACATTACACCATTTTAACATAATATTATGGATAGAGTTTAATTAAGTGTTCGAAAGATTCATTTCACTATTTTTAAAATAATGTCTATATTGCCATGAGCCATTACCATTTTCTTGCCTGGGATCTTCCTATTGGTGACATGGATGTGGGCGGAGTTGGATATGTACTTGATTAATGGTAGCATGTTATTATTAGCCATTAGCCAAAGCTAGCACTTCAAGGCTAACGTCTTGTTAATGACCATAAACAACGTAAAAAAAAATACATAAATAAATCTGAGAGAAGGGGGGCAGCGACGGCAGGTCAGCGTCGCAATTTTAGTATCGATACTCAAAAAAGTATCGATACTAAAATTGCGACGCAACTGCACAAAAACAGGTGGATCTATAACGGGTAGATCCACAACAGATGGATGAAAAAAGTGGATCCATAACAGAAATAAAAAACATAATAAAAATACAGAAATAAATCTGAGAGAAGGGGGCAGCGACACTGTTGAAAATGAGTATCATATCCGGATACAACATTTTAATATCGATACTTTTTTGAGTATCGATACTTTTGACAACCCTACTCGACTCAACTCAACTCAACTCAACTTTATTTATAAAGCGCTTTCAGTCAGCCAAAGCTAAAATCAAAGCACTGTACGGGCCATTTGAGCAGATCATAAAAACAAACTCAAAGATTAAAAAAAACAGTAAGAGCAAAAATAAATAAATAAAAAAAATAGGACATTCCCGGGCTCGAGGCGGCGTGTTTTTACGCGTGTGCTGCGTTTGTGCGCGTCTTTTTTTACCTTGTGGAGGTCGAAGTTGGGCTGCACGCGCGGGCTCGGGCACGCGCCCCAGCGCACCAGCTGCGGCGCGCTCAGCGGCAGCGTCAGGAGGAGGAGGGCCGCCAGCAGCATGGCGGGGGGGGGGGGCACCACACACCCGCAGACTCACCTGGACACGGGAGGAAAAGGCTGGAATATTAGAATGAGCTAGAGCTAATGACGGCAGGAACTACCCACTCCTGAAACCGTTACCATGCTAACGCTCACGCTACCAGGACGTCTCCACAGATAGGGGAGTAAGCTGAGGGGGGGGGCAACATGCAGGTGAAAGGCTGGAATATTATAATGAGCTAGAGCTAATGACGTCAGAAACTACCCACTCCTGAAGCAAAATCCCATAAGGATGAAGCCCAATAGCATGCCATGCTAATGCTACCATGCTAACGCTACCACGCTAACGCTACAATGCTAATGCTACCAAGCTAACGCTACCATGTTAACGCTACCACGCTAACGCTACCACACTAATGCTACCAAGCTAATGCTACCACGCTAACGCTACCATAGTAACGCTACCAAGCTAACGCTACCATGCTAATGCTCACGCTAACGTTACCATGCTAACGCTACCATGCTAACACTACCACGCTAACGCTACCATGCTAACGCTCCCGCTAACGCTACCATACTAACGCTACCATTCTAACGCTCACGCTACCATGCTAACGCTACCATGCTAACGCTACCATGCTAGCGCTACCATGCTAATGCTACCATACTAATTCTACCATGCTAACGCTACCATGCTAACGCTACCATGCTAACGCTAC